TAAGAAGGAACTAACAGAATTGATAGGTTTGCAGTTTGAAGTCCATGATGCCGTTGTAGTTCCGAAAGTTGATGTTTCTAAATACCTGGAGTATCTACTGTCAAGACCAGCTGTCCAAATATCGGCAATTGCACCTCAAAACAAAATACTAGTCTACCAGTTTACTGATTTGGCACCATGGCTAAAGTGGTCAAGGTATTTCACTGGGATCTCCACCTCGCGTCTCAAAGTCGTTGAGTGCCGCAACCTAAACAGATTTGTTATTGCTACTGGTGTTTATCTTGGCCCGGATGATTATGATACAATTAGGAAATGCTTTGGAGCATTGTACCAAGAGTATGGTGAGTTAAACAAAATCCATCTTCCCAGTTGTGAAAGTTCTATTCAAGTATTTTACAGAAGCTGTGCAGATGGCAAGCAGCGTCGAGTTGACACAGGTAACAGTTCCTCCAGATCCACCTTTCCAATTCCAGATGCTCCAGAGCATATCAGCCTGTTGGGTAACATGTTGGTCATCTCCACTAGTCCAGTTTGGTCACACAAAGACTCAAGGGACATGGAGCAGAAATGGCAACAAACAAAAACTCCCATCACAAGATCAGAATTTGCAAGAAACAACCTAGGCAATCAAGGGCGAGAAAACCTAACCATCTGCGGCATCTTGCTATAAGATCTTTGGAAACCTTGTCGGTTCAAATTGGCATGTGTGCAATTGGTGAGTAATAGATGAGTTCAAGGTTAGGCAACAGTCTGCAACACCATCTTGAAAAAGGGAGCAAAACCTCATTGCAATTGCAATACAATATAATCTATAGACATGTTATGGGTTTTGTTTTTCTACTACAATTATGTTGCCTAAGCTTGAACGTATCTACATGTAAGATATTGTACTTAACCTGGTGTTCTTTACTAGTCCAGTGTTTATACCCTAGTAAGGATTAGGTCACTAGGGACTATGGATAGTAGGAAATATAGGGGAGAGCATCTGAGTATACATTGTTACAGGGAAATAGAATGCATTAACTGTCATAAGTTTTAGTTGTCCTGTATCATACATACCTATTGGATACCATGCTTGTAAATTTAGTTTGGAATTCAACCAAATCACTTTGAAATCCACATATCCTTGGGTGAAATGCATTAGAAATACATCCAATTATTATATCCTCAAATACCCTACATACAAATGATGTTCAAGAGATAACTTTTTGTTAATTTCATTCATTTATTGAAATAACTCAACAGTTACAAAAACTAACGCTTCAGCTACATTTGTTTCAATTCCATGTATTTCTTACCCTGGATTCCAGAGCAGAATCTGTACTAAAACCACTAATTCTGTTTTGTGATTGGCGCGGTTCAATCAAAGAATCGCCCCGTTGAACCAGAGCCTTCGCGACATTTCAATTTATTATTTACTGTCGAAGGCTCTGGAATCCAGGGTATGTATTTCTATGCTGCTTCCAAGAAATAGCTATCGCACACCTTCAACACACCCCCATGTGCACAAAACCATTCTACTTCCTGTTTACAAATGTCAAAAACTGAGAGAACTATTTATGGTATAACCAGGGGCGAAACTTGAGGGGGGGTATGGGGGGTGTAACACCCCCCAAAATATGAATTATCTGGTTTGGCAGGGTGAATCATCTGGATAGGCAGGGCAATCAAAGATTTTAAATGATAGAATGTAGAGTTATTAAGTAATTTATAGGGCTTTCTAAGGGAATTGAATAGAAGTTATAGACCTAAATCTCACAGATATTGGTCCAAAAATATGGTTTTCACCCATGTTTTAGCAGGAATTTCTACGGAAAAATTTTTAATTTGACTGGTTTATTTCCGGAAACCCTTTTCGACCCTTTTTTTGTCAGAAAAAACTTTTTGAAACCTCCCCCCCACCCCCCCTCGCCAACATTTTAGGAAAAATAGTGGCCAAAAATAAAAATGGCAGACACTCCCCAAATTAAAAGGGGCCTGTTATAAATAAAAGGCAGTCCATAGCATAAGTAAAGTCACAGCATTGCCGAGGTATTGTTTGACTTTATGAGATGAACTTCACATCCAATTGCAATTGGCCAGTTACATATTATTGGCCCTTAATAAACCAAGTTTAATTCTTGTACTTGTTTAGATTTGCATGAGTACAAAATAATTAGTTAATATGTAATATGGGGTGGGACATATTTAGCTGATCAGAGTGTATCAACCTTATCAGCTAAATATGTCCCATTACATATGGATTATGTATCTCAAGGTATAACTGGATCACAGGAAAAGTGGACAGATTGTTTGAAGAATGTAGCTCGATTTGTGAAAGTAGAAAATGGGCATTTAACTGTGAAGTTTGATGAGATTGGTGTATTATCATTTGGTCACAAAGTATCTGGTGTTCTGGCTACAAGTGGATTTCAAAATTTTAGCCTTCAAACCCTTGTCACTTTTTGTTCTGGGTTAACAGAAGTATTCCAAAACCTATGGCAACCACCAACCACTTTAAGTGGGGGAGACTATGAAATTTTGGCACGAGTGCTCCTTGGTTTTCAATCAGTGGTAATCTTTGGTGTGAAGGCAATAACCCCATCAATCAAACAGGCTGTTGTTTACACACCGTTTTACATTGAAAAGGCTTTGGAGGATGGTAGAAAAATCGGGCTTCCTGTGACCTTAGAGCACATATCTGATGCCACAATGGAGACAGCACACAAGCGCCCCAAAGAAGGCAACTTTTTATTCAGTGGTGGACGGGATGTCCCAGCTGATGTTATTGAGTACCAGACATGTGTTCTCACTCAACTTTTCCAAAACGAGATCTATAACATCTGGGACAAAGGCAATCAGATTAAAAAGAAGCGATCAAAACTAGCCCATTCCGAAGCAGAGCCTCAAGAAGTTAAAAGAAGAAGAGTTGTGGTAAAAAATTGCTAATAGACTTATGAAGTGCTGACATCTATATTGTCCCAAATGTTGGGAAATTTATCTATTATGCAAAAATTTTGTGATGTAAGCACTTCAAAGGTCTATTTACCCAATGGTATTTAACCCATTGAGCCACCATGCCCCCCTGTGCGCCTTACTTATTTTTTTTTACTTGTCTAACGCCAGACGATTTTACTCGTCAACGGGAAGCTCTGCAGCTTAATGGGTTAAATACTTCCCAAGCTATTAACACTTGCTAATTAGCCCAGAACTATAACAAAAAGGGCCCAACACTGCATTTTACTTTACCATCAAAATTGTCTGCTATGATTATACCTAGAGAATATAATAATTTTCCTATACTCTTAATTCCAGCTACAACAAAAGTTCTAAAATATTCAGCAATACAACATAACCATTTCCACTATCCACAGTTGGTAGGGTCATCAGCGTCACAAGTTAAGTCTAAGGAAAAATAAAGACAAAATATACTGTTTAGTTATATAATATTAATAAACATTTATTTGGAGCCAAACAATGGGGTGTAGAATTCAGGTGCAAGCTAGTGTGGGACCAATATGGCATATGGTCTAAGTCACAATGTAACCTACTAGGCCCTACTATATTCATCTACTCTGTCAAACTCCAAACCATTTTTATTTATTTATGGCAATCATTCATGCCCTTTCATGCCTAATACATGCATAATCAATGTCTTTCTCTAGCCTAGTAATTACTCTGTGCCATCTATGGAATACTAGACAAATCTACCAATTTAATTTTCACAATTAACTTTATTCATTTGTATAGTTACCTTTTGATACCAATGAAGGAAGTTGTGAGCTGGATGAAGTTAACCCTGAATTCGAATCATCTCAATCAGTAGAAGCACATTCAGAGGTAAGATGCACCATTGGAAAGGTCTTTTTTTAACAATTCCAGTAGTTTATGAACATTAGAAAGCATTTAAACTTGTCATATTCACACCAACTGTCATTTATATAGCTTTTCACCACCTGTATGGATGAAATCCTAGACGAAAATACATCACAGGACGAAATCAGTAGCTATCATCATGGTTAAAGGTGGCGTAAAGCGACGTCATTGGCGGCTTTATTCACATTTAATCAGTTTGATTAAATTTAGTAAATGTACCTAAACTCTCCTTTCAGCATGCAGATTAAAGATTTTTCTGGAGGCTTTAAATGTCCAAATTATAGTATAATTATAGATGATTAAAGACGACCTATTAAAGAATGAGAAAAGTTTGTTTAAAGGGAATTAAAGGTTTCTAACTTGTCTTTAACTGCGAAGAGAAATGAGTTGTAAAGGTACCTTGAAGCTACATATACAAAGCTTTTCTGCTCTGGTATTTTACATCTTTAATCACATTTAATGTGGTGTTGAAATTGTAAAAAGGTGCATGTCTTTACTCAACTTTAAGCAAAGGTGTTTTGAATCTTTATTTTACCTTTAATCGCATTTAATATGTGTTGAAATTGTGAAAAGGTACCTGTACATGCCTTTACTCAACTTTATGAAAAGGTGTTTTGTATCTTTATTTAACCTTTAATCACATTTAATGTGGTGTTGAAACTGTGAAAAGGTCTTTACTCACCTTTAAGCAAAGGTGTTTTGTATGTTTATTTAACCTTAAAACACATTTAATGTCGTACGAAAAGAACAGAAAAGAAACGTATATTGTCTATTTGACGTTTCCATTTGCCATTTAAATACCTATAGTATTGTTTAACCATTAATTGTTAAACATTAATGGTTAAACAAACTATTCAAAATCGCAAATGCAAATGTCAAATAATAATAGTTACAGTTAAGCCATGTTTTAGATATTTTCGTTAATAAATTGTACGTGCAGGTAAGATGATCAATAAAACAAAAGTAATGCCATTGATAGATCTCTCTGGCGTTTCCCAGATTTGAACGTAATAGCAAACAAGCTGCTCCAGTGGCGAGTTTAATAGCAAAGCAGGAAGTAATGTCTCCAAAGACAAAAAAAAGATTTCAGCACACATAATTTTTTCTTCAATTTTATATTTACCATATAAATAACATAAAAATCTGCCATGCAGAATAAATGCATATCGTATAAACAGTGTAAATTACGCAAACTCATAAATTTGATTATCAAATTATCACGTGCAGAATGAAAACCCACGAATAAAAACCTTTCAGTCTAACATTTCTATTTAGAATTTTGTATGAACCTGTTTAAGAAGCCATGCAGGTTCACAACAAATATATAAAGCACTCTTAATACATCAGAACATGGAAAACTTTGGGTGATATATCGTGGGTCTTTACTATACTGAAAAACTATAGCAATCAGAGTCATGATCATTTAAAATGTCATTAACAGAGTCATTCAGCGAAGAGCCACTAGAGATAACGACTGGGCACTCTCATCAACAACATTATCATCCTCGTTCTTAGCTGCCCACTCCGGGAAGTCGTTTGGCTTAGGTCGAATGGAGGGCTGTCCATCCTCGCGAGGAACAATTCTGCTCCGTACCAGTTCTGACAAAGACAAGGTGTGGAGCCTGTCTAACTTTTTCTTTGCCCTTCGTATAGAGATGGACTCTCCCAGGGTAGCCTACGAACATTGTAACGCATGATCCTTTTTGTTGTTTCGTAGCCTGCATGGCAGGCGGTATTTCTACGGGCAGCGAAAATTAGGGAAGCAAAGGAAATACCGTCTGCCGCAAAACTAGGGGTTTTTGAATTACCCGTCCGCTGGTGAACGGGAAAAACGGATTGGTTAGTATTTTTATGTGGTTGTCAATCAACGGCTAAATTCGGTTAAATGTTAATCATTAACCAAATGTTTTGACGTTTTGAAACTCTGCGTTTTGAAATTAGTTCACGTCAAGTCAGACCAGATATGGAATAACATAATAAAAGAAGCAAATTAATTTAAAAGATACAAGCTGAAAAATAACACTCTAAATAGTGTTTTTGATAGAGATTCGAACAAGAATATTTAACATAGAAGATACGTCCGAAGGGGCCGAAGTTATGATCGGCGAAAGGTATGGGCTAGTCTATATTTTTGTTCAGACAATTACATGCGTATTAATTTGATAATATACTATCTCGCTTGACTTTCAAAGGCCATAAATCGCAATAATGTTGACATTTTACTAAAACTATCGATAGAAATTAGGAGATATTTCTTCACTGAATCGAACAGTGGGATTTCCATATAGGCCTATCAGTCATGTTCTGAACCGAAGATACTTGATAGATATTATATACGAACCTCCAAAGTATAAACAAGGGGCCGGTTGATGCAGTAATTATCAAATAACTGTTAAACTCTTATATACCCGTTGAATATGTATAGTTGTATAAAACAAATAAAAACTATCGTTCTATATAAGGTTCAATACTTTCAGTTTGGTTGTTGACTGATGATGAATCTATATACAGGGTGTATCAAAATAAACGCAATTCATCTTTTGTGCTTAATAACTTTCGAAATACTATTTCTAGTTAAACGCATTTAGGCTTACTTCAAAGCCTGTTCTTTTCTCTTTCAAACAAACTATTATCCTTGTCTCCAATGCTAGTAATGATTGCACAGGAAAAGATTTAGTAAAACCTATCATTTTTAGTTTCTGTTTAATTATGCAAGTTACTATGTTATTGTTTAGTCGGTTTAAATGTTAGAATTTTCTTCTTTAAACTTTAATGTTGTCGTCACTACATCTGGAAAACCACGTAAGAACAAATTAAAAGTATTTTAAAAGAGACCAGGTTGTTTGAAAATCCAAACGAACGCTAAAAATCATAGAATCAAAACATTCTGGTGTCTGAGCCAGAGTGTCATCGAATTGCGATGTAATGTAAACAGAAATTATAGCAAGCTGATGTCAGTCAGCTTAGATGGTCCAAGCCAAAATTATATCGCATTTGAAGTTTCAAACTGTGTTAAAAATAGTGGAAGAACAGCCGTAATTATACTTATTGTTACAATCCATTTAATAAAATGCAACATTTGTTTGTTTTAATGAAAAATCAGTTATTTTCATGAGAACGATTTGTTATTCCATCTCAATTTTTTTAATCTCCAATCGCAATAACGTAAAGTATTATTACCCGCGAACCAATGAGTCAAATTTAAGAAACAACCCACTGTTAGAAAGCTGAATGGCTACGCTTTAAAATGAATGTAAACTTTAACGTTTTCGTCTATTATTTGTTTAGCAATTTACATTTCAGTCGAGGATTGCGTTTTTTTTTATACACCCTGTAGTATAGACTTGCATGCTTTGTATTTTGAGCTTATTAAACCACCGTTTTAAGGCAGCTAAACGGGCTTGGTTTATATTAACACATAAAATAAATTCCTTGATTCTCATCACTAGACACAGTCTATACTTTGAAATGTCGAAGACAGTGGGAGATTTATTTTTTATATTTTATATTTATATAATTTATATATCAATAGTTCGTATCTCCACGAACAATGACAGAATGACTGGGTTTCTTTAAAATACAATGAAATTTCACTCAAAATTCTGTTTGTTTCAAATTGGAAGTTTAAAATGGCAATAAAAACTCTATATAAAATATGAAAAAATTAACTGTCTTGAATTATTTTGTCGGGCGGTACATTTATATTGTGTAACTAAAAATAAAACGTTTTCACGAGGATTTTAAAATTCAGTCGGGCGGTGATGAGAATCAAGGAATTTATTTTATGTTGGGCAGTTGGGACTTGGGAGCAGCTTGGGAGTGGCTAATTTTGAATATTTACTTAATTAATGCATCTATAAATAGCGTTGATGCTTCAGGGGCGGTAGTTCATTTACACCCAGTTTTGCGGCAGGCGGTATTTCCTACGTACCGCCTGCCATGCAGGCTAGTATTTAGCCTGCGAACAGGTTCAACAGCCTGCAATCAGGCTCAAAGTAAACGCAACAAATGTTATTGAAACTCTGTTCATGTCTCACAGTTTATCACAAGGACAGGCTCCAACTAAATCTTCAACTAAACGATCGAGATATCTATGAATGTACAGGAAGAGTGCAAGGAGACTATCCTATTTATGTTCCAGACGAAGACGTACTTGCCGAGAAATTAGTTACACATGCACATTCGCAGACCTTACATGGGGGAGCTTTGCTAACAATGACTAAGATCAGAGAGAAATATTGGATCCCAAGATTAAGACGATTGACGAAACGTGTGATACGAAAGTGCCATGGATGTAAAAGATTCCAAGTCAAAGCATACGCAGATCCTCCGATAGCTAATCTACCCCTCGAGAGGACGACCGGTTCAACACCCTTTAAAGTCATCGGAGTTGATTACGCAGGTCCGATCAGATATCTAAGTAAAACGAAGAAGGAAAAGAAAGCTTACGTGGCGTTATATGCGTGCAGTCTAACGAGAGCTCTCTATCTCGACCTATTACCAGATCAAAGTACCGAGGAGTTCTTGCTCAGCTTGAAACGATTTATAGCAAGGAAAGGACGTCCAGAAAAAATATTCTCCGACAACGGTAAAACGTTCGTAGCGACGGCAAAATGGCTGAAAAGAGTTCGAAACGATGAGAAATTCAACAATTGGTTGGCAAAGCAAGATATCAAGTGGAAGTTTAACTTAAGCCGCGCCCCTTGGTGGGGCGGGCAGTTTGAACGGTTAGTCGGTGTGATGAAACAAGCTCTATATAAATCGATCGGGCATGGAAACCTACGTTGGAAAGAGTTAGAAGAAGTTCTGTTGGACGTCGAAACCACTGTCAATAATCGACCGTTGTCATATATGGAGGACGATATCCAGATGCCAATATTGACTCCAAATTCGATGCAGTTTGTACAGCCGACTCAAATCCCAGAAGAAGAAACTGCCGGAGTTGAAAATACCGACCTTCGTAAACGTACAAGATACTTGAGACAATGTAAAGATGTCGTTTGGTCCAGATGGACGAACGAATACCTCAAATCATTACGAGAAAGACACAAGCTAAAGCACAACACGAAGCAGATGACAGCGAAACGAGGTGACGTAGTTCTAATTAAAGGAGACGAACGCAACCGAGGGAAGTGGAAAATTGGGATAATCGAATCGTTCATTGTCGGCAGAGACGGTGTAATAAGAGGAGCGCGGTTGAGAACAGGGAAGTCCCATATCGAACGTGCGATGCAACACCTATTCCCTATGGAATTATCGTGTGATATCTACCCAACTGAAGATATTGGAACAAACGGAAAACAAGAAAAGTCATCTGAAAGAACTCAGTCATCGGCATTTTTTAGTCCTTTTTAATGTCTATAAATCGCATTCGACTAACATCCGCAGGTGGTTAACAGGGTGGACTTTCGTCTACGCATGCGCGAGAAACGTAAGCGTGGAGTGCAACGTGAGCGTGGGTTAATCGCGTGACTGAATTATAAAAACAAACATCAAATTTGCCAAAACTACTCGTGTTATGAAATCGTTTCCTTGTTTCTTTAGTTTTTTTACGCTCACAATTTTATAGGCATTTCCGATTTAGAAGTGTTTGCTTTGGAATAAGAACGTGAAAGTAGAAATAAAACTTTGTTACAGCAGTTTAATTTCGCAGCGCAAATATACCTGTTTTTCATATGTATATCCTTTTCGAAGTGAGATATACAAGTGCAAATTGACCTTCTTTAAATTCGTACTTGCCCTATTTTTCACTCCATAAAAACTACTTTCATCCATGGAGAAACTATTTGACTCCAAAAATAAGCTTGAATTTTTGTGGTGATATAGGCTCATTTCTTTGCAAACAGTGATTTAGTACTCGGTAGTGTAGTTGTTGTTTATGAACAAAAGTCTAAAATGAATTCAACATCCGTCAACAAAAAGGAGTCGCGCTTATTACTATTCTGTAGAGGATAGACAATTAATTTAACTCACTAGGAACCCGTTCTACAATATAAACTAGAAATCGGCCAACAAATTGCCACGAAATACTACAATGAAAATAGGGTCTCTGAACTACCAATTTCACCAAACGGTCAAGTTTCTCTGCAAAGATCGCCCCTTTGCCCAATTTTTCTCGAGTAGATCATCGTGTTTTTAAGTCAAGGATTATGTATACTTTAACATAAAAGAATAAAAAAAGTGGTGATAAAGGGTAGATTTTGAATAAAATACGAATATCTGTATACAAGATCTGAGCGTTAGATCTGAGCGATACTTTTTCCAACAACATATTGCGATTAATTTTTTACAAAATTAAAAATATTCACACATTAAAGATATGAAAATGTAGCTTGCATTACAAAGAAATGTTGGCTTACCTAAGTTATACCTTACACGTCGATTAAAGCCAAGTAAAACCCTTTCAAAGACGCGTTCCACATTAAATTACAGGTCTCGATCATGGCGGTAGAGAACTCGACGAAGTATTCAGGACATTTCATAGCCAGTTTAAACGCCGTTGTGTACTATTCCTGTGAATTATGATGCCCAACACACCGGGTAACAAAATTTACCACTTTGTTCAGCTGTTCCAAGTACACTTTTAAGATACAAGGTTCGATTTTATCATGTTCTTCGAAGCATCTGCTCAAAACAGTCCAACATAAATATCACCACTCATCTTCTTCGTATGAAAATATTGTTGCAATATTCATAAAAAAAAACAATTAAAAAATATTTGCATGCATGTATAATTAGTTAGTAGCCTATTTAAGCCAAGTAAACATTTCGTATATAGGTTTTTTATTAGTTAGCTAAATAAAACAAAGTACGTTGTAGTTGGTTTGTGTGCTTTCTGTCATTTAACGAAACATGGTGTCAGGAGTGGGATTGTGACAAGCACAGAAGCTGCAAATATGTCTGATACTGAAGAGATGGAAAATCTAAACGGGCCAGAGTCAAGTACAATGCCAAAGGGCAAGATACAACAAACGATACAAGCTTCGGTGTCTATACCGATAATTCCAACAGGAATTTCTGCTCCTAAACCACTGTTGATGGAAGGAAACATGGGAGCAAATTGGAAGAAATTTCGCCGAGGATGGGAGAACTATGCAATTATTTCTCGGCTCGAACAATTCGACGAACGTTTCAAGACGGCGTTGTTTTTGTCAGTAATTGGCGACGGGGCGATGGAAGTTTATGAAGGAATGCATTTCGCAGATAGCGATGACAAGCAGAAGCTAAATAAAGTTATCGAACAATTTCAAACCACATTTATCGGCGAGACCAATGAAACCTATGAACGGTTTATATTTAATAGTCGCAATCAGAAAGAAGGAGAAACAATCGAGCAATATATTATTGTGTTGAGAACTTTGGCACAATCGTGTAACTTTTGTACTTGTCTGAAAGAAACCCTGTTGCGAGATAGGGTTGTTTTGGGTGTTAAAGACAATTCTGTTCGAAAGAAACTCCTACAAGAACGAAAGTTAACATTAGCAAAGGCCCTAGATATTTGTCGAAGCAGTGAGACGACTTCCAAGCAATTGCGAAATATGATAAGCCTCAATGAGAAGTCAATCGACCATGAAATCGAAGCAATTAGAGAACAATGTCAAGGAAATCGGCGTGGTGACCCTTCAAGATCCCGCGAGAAAAAGCGTTGCAAATATTGCGGGGGAATGCATGAATTTGATAAGAATTCCTGCCCAGCATATGGAAAGTCGTGTAAGAACTGTGGTTTTCGCAATCAGTTCTCAAGGGTTTGCCAGAAGAAACGGAATGAAACTACACGATCGGTCAAGGAGATTACCAAAGATGTTTCTAGTGACTCTGGTGATTCAGTGTACACAGTTTCCGTTTTGCCCGAGTTTCCGGATGATCAAGAGGTTTTATCGATGCAAACAAAATATAAACAATTCAAGAGTAAAATTCTAACCGTAATGAACATTAAAGGGGGAAAAGAGACAAGTTTTCAAGTCGATACGGGCGCCACTTGCAATGTGATTAAACAGAAGGAACTGTCTGGGACGAAATATATGAAAAAAATGAAGAAAACAAAGCAAGTCCTCAAGATGTATAACTCTTCCACTTTGAAACCAGTCGGTCAGTGTATGGTGCAATTACAAAATCCTGAAACATGCAAGAAGTACAAGGTTGAATTTACGGTTATAGACGATGGGAAATGTACGAATCTTCTCGGAAGTCGAGCAGCACAGCAGATGGGTCTTGTTAATGTGAATTACGACAACATGAAAATTCTAGCTGTCAGAGTCAGACCAGAAAGGGGATTCACATACCACGATGACGTCATCAGAGTCAAGTCCGACGGAAAGGTCGACGCATTCCATATTGACCTCTCCAGAACCAAGTCAAACTGGATTGACCATGGAACAGATCACTAGCGAATACAAAGATATTTTCGAGGGACTGGGGCAGCTTGGACCGAAACTCCATTTGGAACTAGAAGAAAACGTGAAACCTGTACAACAAGCAGTGAGAAAAATACCTGAGTCCATGAAAGATCCACTGAGAAGCCACCTAGCTGAGCTCGAAGAGAAAGGTATAATCGAGAGAGTGTATCAACCTACAGAATGGATAAATTATATTGTTGTTGCAAAGAAATCCAATGGAAGTATTCGCCTATGCCTACATCCTCGTCCACTTAACAAGGCACTCAAGAGATGTCACCACCCCATGCAGACCATTGAAGATATATTACCTGAGCTTGGTAAAGCAAAAGTTTTCTCCAAGTTGGACTGTCTCAATGGTTATTGGCAAGTCCCTTTGGATGAAGAATCTTCCCTCCTTACGACGTTTGGAACGTCTTTCGGTTGGTATAAATGGAAACGTTTACCGTTTGGTATTTCTCCAGCGGGTAAGATATTTCAGAGCCGTTTAGATCAAGCGATCGACGACCTTGAGG